GCTTCCGACGCACGACGCGAGTCAACGCGAACGAACCGGGACGAGCCGGGCCGAGCAGACGCGTTTTGCGCGGACTAATCGCGAATTTTCGACTCGTAAATTTTCCTGATGATTTTTCCCGGGGCGACGCGAGCCGCCGCGGCTCGATTCCGCGCGCGAGACGCTCGCTTGAGTCGGCGTCTATCCGGTCGGATAGAAGGTTCCAGAAGTCGGGCCGCGGCGCGGCCGCTCGATAGAAAACCGACGCCGCGCGCCGCGCTGTGACACTCGTTGGTGAGCTCCCGTGGCGGAAGGATCGTCGCTGCTCGTCGGTGATCTCTCGTTCTTCGCGCGCCGTCGTTCGTACGTGTTCCGATTTTCGGAGTGCGAGGCTCGTGCACTTGCGTTTTTTTTTCGCGTTTCATTCGGATTTAGTATTTGTTAATATTGTGAAATAATGCCTGAGGACGTGAGCATGGCGGACGCCGGCGAGGTGGAGACCTTCGCCTTCCAGGCCGAGATCGCCCAGTTGATGAGCCTGATCATCAACACCTTCTACTCGAACAAGGAGATCTTCATCCGAGAACTGATCTCCAACTCGTCCGACGTGAGTGGCTTGCTTTGTTGTTAATAAAAATATATTTGGCGACACCGTTTCCCGACGTTCGCGGCGTTGCCGTTGATGTAGTCCACTTCCGTTTCCGTTGTCGACCTCGTGTTCTCACACGCCTCTCGATTTTGTATATTTAAATATTTCTTAATATGTTTTATACATTTTATCGGATTTTAATAATTTTTTCATGTCATTTTTATGTGATACGTATAACTTTTTTGAATTTTTTTTTTATTACGTTTGGAAGTTGGGATATTGTGAAAAAAGGAAAATTAGAAACAGAACGTTAGAAATAATCGTGTAACTTCGGAAAAGTGATAAAAACATTCTTGTTAATAGCGCGATATTAAATCCTTTGTGAATTTTTTGTTTAGGCGTTGGACAAAATTCGATATGAATCTCTCACGGATCCATCCAAGCTGGATACCTGCAAGGAATTATTTATTAAGATTGTTCCAAACAAGAACGACCGCACCCTGACGATTCTCGATTCGTAAGTATCTTTTATAAAAATAAATATATGCGACATATATATTAATATTCACAACGCTTGTCTTTAAATTGAATTTTCTGTGTCTTTACAGTGGCATTGGTATGACCAAAGCCGACCTTGTAAATAACCTGGGTACCATTGCCAAGTCGGGTACGAAGGCGTTCATGGAAGCTTTGCAGGCGGGCGCTGACATCTCCATGATTGGACAGTTTGGTGTGGGTTTCTACTCGGCGTACCTCGTGGCCGACAAAGTCACCGTGATCTCGAAGCACAATGACGACGAGCAGTACCTGTGGGAGTCCTCCGCCGGCGGTTCGTTCACGGTTCGTCCCGACAATGGTGAACCAATTGGACGCGGCACCAAGATCGTCCTGCACATCAAGGAGGATCAGACCGAGTATCTGGAGGAGTCCAAGATCAAAGAGATCGTGAAGAAGCACTCTCAGTTCATTGGCTATCCCATCAAGCTCGTCGTCGAGAAGGAGCGCGACAAGGAACTGAGCGAGGACGAGGAGGAGGAGCCCGCGAAGGAGGGTGCATCCGAGGATGAGAAACCCAAGATCGAGGACGTTGGCGAGGATGAGGAAGAAGATAAGCCCAAGGACGAGAAGAAAAAGAAGAAGAAGACCATCAAGGAGAAGTACACCGAAGACGAGGAGTTGAACAAGACGAAACCGATTTGGACGAGAAATCCAGACGATATCACGCAGGAGGAGTACGGCGAGTTCTACAAGAGCTTGACCAACGATTGGGAAGATCATTTGGCTGTGAAACACTTCTCCGTGGAGGGACAGCTGGAATTCCGAGCGCTGCTGTTCATTCCGCGTCGCGCGCCCTTCGACCTCTTTGAGAATAAGAAGAGGAAGAACAATATTAAGTTGTACGTACGTCGCGTCTTCATCATGGACAACTGCGAGGATCTGATCCCCGAATATCTGAACTTCATCAAGGGTGTCGTGGAC